TTTTGGTTGCAGCCGTCATTGTTGTTTGGCGGGTCCGGGCTGGGGATTCAAACCCGCCACCTTAGGTGTACGTGGCTGGCGCTTTAGCCGGTTGAGCTATAGGCGCCGAGCCTCTAGTTCTTTTAAAAAACTTACTCTGCCCAAATGTTGAAGTTGTGCCAAAGCCACCTGTGCCACCCCCAAAGGGTGTTCCAAATGATTTATTAAACATCTTCAAGATGAGTCTTTGTTTCAGAAAGCTGAAAAGAAGAAAAAATTATTAATCTTTGTAAAGACGACAGAATGCAATGTAAATATTTCAAAAAAACTACCATTTTACAAACGTAGACTTATTCAAACTACGACATATTTTCTCATTCAATATTCTAAAACTCAGTGTGATTTAATAAGCCTTGTAAAATAACCTTTAATAATCTATACTGTTTCTGAACCTAATAGTACCATAAGGTAAGGTTTAACTTCAGATCCCTTTAAAACACTTTCAACCTTTTTAAATCCTAAGCTTCCTTTTAACAAAAATTTCTAATCAACTATGCCAGATTCTAATATGAAGCACTTAGAAGGTTAGGCATTATATCCACCAAAAATTATAGCCATAGTCTATCCTAATCAAGTGAAAAGCTAAAATTTTGTCAAGCTTTATTCTTCCATAGTTTGCGCACTGTAAAGTTTTTTTCCCCCCTAGTTTTCAGGAGATAACATATGGTAACAGTAAATCCACCAGCCTCAGCCTCCCAGAGTGCTAGGATTATAGGCGTCAGCCACCTCACCAGGCCTCAAAAATCACAGTTCTGATGCCTTGACATTCTCTTTGAGATTACTTCTAAGTTATAGAAGTATAGTTCTAGAAGTATAGAAGTATAGTATAGTTCTCAGCTTATCTTCTACTTTATCAGAGAATACTGCAGAAAATATTTGATGAAAACCCCTCACTTCATGTAAACGATTTCTCCCTAGTATCCAAACCATATACCTAGTCGCTTAACAAACTGGACCCACAAACTATTCCAAATACAAAGGTTAAGTTTACTTTTACCTCCCCTCGATCTGAACAAAAAGTTAACAGTACAGTTTATTCAAAAGTAGAACTGTAAAAGCAGCTTTCCACCTCCACAAATTTTCCTTAAACTTAAGATACCTGTCACCAGGCTACAGATGAGTAGCTCATGCCTGTAATCCTACCAATCTAAGAGGCCAAGGTGGGAGGAATGCTTGAGTTCAAGAGTTCCGGAGTCCAAGACCTGTCTGAGCAAGAACCAGACCCCATAGCCAGGCATAGTGGTACATGTCTGTAGTCCAGTTTTAGCTACTTAGGAGGCTGAAGCAAGAGGATTTCTCCAGCCCAAGAGTTTGAGGTTGCTGTGAGCTAAGATGCCATGATACTCTACCCAGGATGACAGAGAGAAACTCTGTCTCAATTTAAAAAAAAAAAAAAAAAAGGGTGGCACCTGTGGCTCAGGGAATAGGGTACTGGCCCTATATACCAAGGGTGGTGGATTCGAAACAGGCCTCGCCAAAATGCAACAAAAAAATAGCCAGGCATTGTGGCGGGTGCCTATAGTCCCAGCTACTTGGGAGGCTGAGGCAAGAGAATCGCTTCAGCCCAAGAGTTTTGGGGTTTTTTTTGCAGTTTTTGGCCAGGGGCTGGGTTTGAACCCACCACCTCCAGCATGAGGCCGGGACCCTACTCCTTTGAGCCATAGGCGTGGTCCTCAGCCCAAGAGTTTGAGGTTGCTGTTGAGCTGTGATGCCACGGCACTCTACCTAGGGCAACATAGTGAGACTCAGTCTCAAAAATAATAATAATAAATAAATAAAAAGAAAAAAAGGAAAACAAAACCATTTTGATTGCCATATTTTCTCAAAATAATCTCGATGACCTTCTGTGCACTTTTATACCTTTCTTGTTTTTTTCTTGAGACAGCTATGTCACCCTCAGTAAAGTGTTGTGGCATCACAGCTCACAGCAACCTCAAACTCTTGGGCTTATGCGATTCTCTTGCCTCAGCCTCCCAAGTAGCTGGGACTCCCAGCATCCGCCACAACTCCTGGCTATTTTTTGGTTGTAGTTGTCATTGTTGTATGGTAGGCCTGGGCTGGACTCGAACCCGTCAGCTCTGGTGTACCTGGCTGGTGCCCTAGCACTGAACCTTTTTTTTTTTTTCTATAGGAAACAGGAAATAATCACATGGGCCAAGTCAGGGCTGGGTAAGGTATACGTAGGGTATATGACTCATATAGTTTACCCTCTGTGGACTACAGAAACTGAATGGTGATACTGGCTGTGTGGGCAGACACAAAGGTGAACTATGACGACACTAGGGCACTCTACCCAGGGAGACAGAGTGAGACTCTTGTCTCAAAAGAAAAAAAAAAAGTAAAAGAAAACAAAAAGAATAAGACATCAGGCTCAGCACCCATAGCTCAGTGAGTAGGGCACCACCCACCTACACGGAGGCTGGCAGGTAGAAGCCCAGCCTGCTGAACAATGACACTCCAACCAAAACATAGCCGGGTGTTTTGGCAGGTGCCTGTAGCCCCAGCTACTCCAGACATTGAGGCAAGAGAATTGCTTAAGCCCAAGAATTTAAGGTTTTTGTGAGCTGTGACATCACAGCACTTACCCAGGGTGACAAAGTGAGACTCCGTCGCAAAAGAAACAAACAACAATAACGAAAGAATAAGACATCATCACAACATTTGGACAAAGTTACCCTATTATTTCAATTTTCTTTTTTTTTTTTTTCGAGACAGAGCCTCAAGCTATCCCCCTGGGTAGAGTACCATGGCATCACGCTCACAGCAACCTCCAACTCCTGGGCTCAAGCGAGTCTCCT